TCTAGGCATTTCAACATCACAGAGTGCCTCAGTACCTTTGAGCGCTGCTGGCCGATTACTTACGGGACCGCGAAGTCCTGTATGTTAACAGAGACGGCCAGCTCAAACGGCGCGGCGTAGCCAGCGGGGTTCCGCAAGGTTCGGTGCTCGGTCCACTCTTGTGGAACCTAGGCTTCAACTGGCTCCTCCGGGGCGTCCTTCTCGCGGGCATGAGTGTCACATGCTATGCGGATGACACTCTGGTCACTGCCCGAAGAAGATATTTGGGGCCGCGGCTCGGCTGGCGTCGGCGAGCGGCACATTAGTCGCTCGCAGAATACGACGCCTCGGCCTGAAAGTCGCGCTGGAGTAGACTGAGGCCCTCTTCTTTCCGGGGCCAGCGCGACCCTCCCGACGCGTTGAGGACGTTAGGATTGACGTCAAAGGCCAAATGAAATATCTGGGCCTCACGCTTGACGGGAGGTGGCATTTTAGCCCGCACTTCAACGGGCTAGCGCCACGCCTCCACAAGGCAGCCAGCGTACTGAGTTGGTTCCTCCCGAATTTGGGAGGGCCACAAACGAAGTGTCGTCGACTTTATGCCGGCGTTCTGAGGAGCATGGCGCTGTATGGCGCCCCAGTCTGGGCGGACGCACTCAACAAGAGGGAGAATACTGCCCTTCTGCGCAGACCGGGCCATAGCGCAGAGGGTCGCAAGGACCTACCGCACGGTAGGGCACGCTGCGGCGTGCGTCCTCACTGGTACTCCTCCTTGGGAGCTAGAAGTTGGGGTCTTGTCTGTCATCTATCACTGGATGGCAGACCAGAAGGCGCGTGGAAAGCGCCCGGCCCCGGAGCGGTGCGGCGCCGTCACGAAGACATGACTCGCGCGCAGTTTGGCCGCCATTGGTCCTGTTCTGGACGGTACGACCGCACGGGTTCCTCACGTTCCTCAGGTGCTGACCGGGAATGGCTGCTTCGGTTCGTACCTGCATAGAATCGGGCGACAGGAATCCCCGTACGTGCCACAAATGCGGCGCGGCGGATGACACGGTGCAGCACACCCTCGCGGTCTGCACAGTCTGGGAGGAGCAGCGCCGTGTCCTCACTGCGGTCGTGGGCCGGGATCTTTCGCTTCCGAGCCTGGTCATCGCCATGCTGGGAAGTGAAGGATGCTGGAAGGTGGTCGCCTCCTTTTGCGAAGAGGTCATCCTTCAGAAGGAGGCAGCGGAGCGCGAGCGGGAGAACGATCCTTTCGCCCCATCGCTCCGCAGACGGAGAAGGGGCCGGAGAAGGCGGTTGTACGACCGTTCTACTCTGCCCCCAGGTGGCGGCCAGCAGGCCGGGGGTGCGGGGGCACCCTTGTCACCTTCGTCTGACGGGAACGGTTTGGCGTTTCGGGCATTCCCCAGACCCCCACAAGGGGGGCGTGTAGGGTCCGCCGTGTAGGCGAGCTGTCGCTTTAGCTTCGTGTCGCGGAAGTCTAAGGCTCGACGGGCTCACTCGGGCTACGACGGAACGCCGCGGAGGTTTTAGTAGGTATACCCCGTCCTTTTCCCTTATTAGGGCGCCGGGAGTCCCACACACCACCCTGTCCCCCGGCAGTGGTGACGGTACGCAAAGCATTTCCTCCGCGACAAAAAAAGGGGGGCCCAAAACGAGCTGTGCCTAGGGGCCCCGAGATGGTTAATCCGGCCCTGTCTCCTAGGTTTTCGACTTCGACGTAGTTGTGCTTAAGTGGTGGGGGCCCCCGAAAGGGGCGCTTTTTAGGTTTTCCGGTTATACCGCGTAAAGGACTTACCCTATCGAAAAGTGGTCTTCCTGAATGACGGTTGAAGGGCATTTAATCTTGCATTAAATAAGACGAAATTCGTATGTTTTGGACAAACCGTTCTCGTGCAAATGTTCGGCAAAATAGAAAATATGTGTATAATTAATGACCCTCTCCACGTCCAATGGCTCGTTACCCGTAGGCTCCCAAGCCTTGTAAAGGGTCGCCTTAACCAGCGTATCCCTGTCAAGGCTCACGAGTTGGATTCGCTTATCCTTGTTCGTCCCAGCCGTTCCTTAACTGCGGTTGCTGCACCTCTTCCTCTTGCTGCACCTGGTTGAGGCGCTCCTTTTCAAGACTTAATTCATTTTTGTGTTTAATTCTACTGGCTTATAAGCTTTTCTTGACTTAAAGTAGATCGTATATAGTTTTTAACCCGTTTTAAGCAAGAAAAGCTTCTCACCTGAACAATTTTTCACCGGTGTGCACAGAGCCATGCGAAGTGCTATATCCAGTATAATTAGCTAAGAACTACTTAAAGGTAAACAGAAAGACCAAGGCTTGGTAATACAGGGTGGCCCAGACGAAAATTAACTTTTGAAAATTCAAGGAAACGAAAACTGTATCTACATTTTTATAGAACTTTAACTATTGCAATTTAAAGAAAATTTAATGCAATTTATTTTTAAATTTACCTTTATTAAATTACATCGCCCAGGAGATTTCCTTGACGCTTACAACATTCGTATACTCTATTCTTAATGTAACACCACAAAAAATAATTTTCTGGAGTGTGGGAACATGTCTCTTACCATCTAAATGCTCTCAGTTGAAGTGTGACACGTAGCCCCATCTTGATGAAACCAAGTGCTCCGGTCATAACCTTGCAAATCTTTCAGCTTTGAAATCAAAAAGCTTTTCAGCCTACCAGTATAGCGCTCTCAAAAATTAATCATCCTTTCAATGCAACAAACCAATTAAGCAGTGGTGAAATCTCACTTCCTCTAAGAGGCGCTAATCTCATTCCAGCAGACTTCTTTTTGTGGGGTTACCTTATGAGCAGAGTATACTCTAATAATCCAAAAACTATGCAGCATTCATCTATCCTGAATCCATTTTGAGGTAACTCTAAATCAGCGGTTCTCAGCGGTGTTCACGCGGCGCCTATAAACAGTGCAAAGGCGCGGCGACGGCGCGGCGACGGCGCGGCGGCGGCGCGGTAGCGGCGTCGTGTGCAGGAGCACTTACGAAAGTTTTCCAAAATGTTGATGTATGTTGACCGAATGTTGTAAACGTCAAGGGAATCACATGTACGATAAAATTTATAAAAGATAGTAAATTTTAAAATAAATTGCACTAAATTTCCTTTAAATTGCAATGGCTTAAGTTCTACAAAAATGTACAGTTTTCGTTTCCTTGAATTTTCAAAAGTGAATTTTCTTCTGGGCTACCCTGTAAAACAATATACACGAAGTTGTGGAGAGATGGTTCTCGTGCTAGGCTCCGAAGATCCTGTGTTACTTAAGAATTTTTTTTTTATTTTTATTGAAACGCTATTGGAATATTTTAAAATTCATGATCACATAAGTACCTAAGTATATGTATATTACAGTGCGTTTACTAATCGTTTATTTATATATGGATTGTGTAGGTATAGTATACCTATACGTATTACGTATAATTATATTTTTTTTTCCTGTAAACAAAAAATTTGCTAAATTTGCCGCCCCTCTAAATCTGCCGCCCTAGGCACTGGCCTACTTGGCCTATTGGTAAATCCGCCACTGGTACTTTCACCTAAAGAGATACAAAAGTGAAGGCAAAGAGCTTAACAGGGAGCTTTTTAAATACTACCGTGAACGCGTCAAAAAATTAATTGACGTGGAATATCGGCAGCATCTTATGCGTATTCAGAATAACATTATTCATGATCCCACCCAATTTTGGAACTTTGTTAAGGAGAAAAAAAAGGAGAGACGTGGTGTCGAGACCTACACTTACAAGGGTGATGAGGTGCTAGGTCAGGCGGCCGCGGACGCCTTTGTTCAATACTTCAGCTCTGTTTTTCTGCCAAGCGTACCCCACTTGAACCATCTCGAGGCATTGCGTGCAGCTCACGATCATCCTAATGCTACTTCTGTCACAGTTTTATCTGTGGACGAAGCTAACTTGAAAGAGGCTGTAAGACGACTCAAACCTAGAACTTCTGGCGGGCCTGATGGTATTCCGGTATTTCTTGCCAAGGATTGTGCCTCAGTTCTGGCGGAGCCACTCCTGTATATATTTAATCTTTCACTCCACCAGGCAAAGTATCCCATGAAATGGAAGTTGATCAGAGTTACCCCAGTTCCGAAAGGTGACGGTGGCAGTGATGTTTCTTCCTTCAGATCTATTGCGGTGCTCTCTGTTTTTGCAAAAGTTTACGAAATAATCCTAAATAAACATATCAGTAATCAGATTGGTAACATGTTACATGATGATCAGCATGGATTTAGGAAAGCTCGTTCAACTGTTACTAACCTTGTGGCGCATGTGGATTACGTGTGTTCCGAGATGGATGTGGGTCGGCAGGTGGACGTGGCCTATTTCGATTTCCGCAAGGCGTTTGATTTGGTGGATAACGATATTCTGCTGCAGAAATTGGCAATACTGGGATTCACGCCGAAGTTACTCCAGCTGATGGCAAGTTACCTAGGTGACCGTTGCCAGTATGTTAGGATTGACGGTTACGAGTCTACGGAGTACTATAAAAGATCCGGTGTTAGTCAGGGAAGCACTCTGGGACCTACGGTATTCTTGGTATTCGTCAATGACTTGCCGGGAAAGGTCCGNCCGGAAAAAGTCCGTATAGCCAGGTGTCTTATGTTCGCCGATGATCTCAAGTTGAGTCTAAGTATAGCCGATCCTAACGATACCCAATCGCTGCAGAATGATATTGACTTTGTGTACGAATGGAGCCAGGAAAACCATCTCCCACTTAATAATGACAAGTGTAAAGTTATTACTTGTTCGCGTAAGCGGAGACCAATATGCGCAACGTATAGACTATCTGACGCGCCACTGGTAAGAGTTGATAACATTCGAGACCTAGGCTTAATTATTGNGATATGAGGCATTTCCTACAGACTTAGTAGAGGCACAGAATGAGTAATAGTACGTAGAGGGTAGTTTATCAACCTACATAACGCGTATCAAAATCTTTAAAGATTTATGTTTTGCCAAGATTCTAATAAATGTTTTTTTGTTACAGAGATAGAACCACCATTCGCCACTCGAGATGTCACAATCAAAAGGAGCACAGATGTCAACGAGTTCTACGAAATGCTGTCAGAGATCGGCAGGTAAGAGAAAACCTTGCCTTTTTCTTCTGCAGATTTTATAAAAATAGTAAGAATGGGTTGCACCATCTTACTTTAATTTTAACAAACGACAAAAATCTGTCAAACACCATACAAAAAGCACCGGTTATCGTCATAGTTACCGTTAAAGTTACGTGGTGAAACTCAGCATTAAGAGTGTTATACCCGAATATACTGTCAGGCCCAAAATAACTTTAGAGAAGCAGGTATTTTTTAGAAGTTTAAATTTCTAATAACTTGGAAAAATTGAATTGTCTAAGGTGGTAATCTATCCCTGGACTTTTCGCTTGCCGGGCTACTGCTCGCTGCTTAAAGCTGTCTAACAAGCAATAGTTTCTAATCCCTTGACACAAAGGCATTTTCTTCGAAATAATAGGGCATGCATCATACACCTGCTAGTGTAAATATTCCACTCTTTCCGAGGCGTGGCCGGCCTTCCGCCCTCGCCAAGGCATGCCGGCAAAACGCAAATTACACTCGGCCTCTAAACATATCTCTACTAACGAGATGACTCATGGCGTGTCTAATAGCGCTGCATTTTAGATTACTGCGTGTCTATGAGGCAAGTTTTTCTGTTTTACCGTTTAAGGCTAGTCCGTTTGAAACCTAAAATAGTGGCATTACCATTTCCAAGAGCCTACTGTAACAAAAACATGGTTGAGAGTGATTTTATCTGATAAAACTCCGACTATGAATGAAACTTTTTATTATCGATGCAGATAAGAGTACCTATCTTGCAATCTTCAAATGATATCAATAAGAATAAAATACCAAATTACAATAAGCCACAATATTTTATTGTAGGTTAGTACAAGCTGAATCACCAGATGTTAGGATGTAAACCATCTTTCAATACGTACAAAAACCTTCTGCTTTCTTCCTTAAACATTCCTTAACCATACTCCACTTTTCAGGGGCAAATTCGGCACAGTATACCTCTGCCGAGAGAAGAGCACAGGCCTGGAGCTAGCAGCCAAGTTGGTCTCCGTGAACCGAAGAGATGAACGGCGTAATGTGGAGAGAGAGGTGGACGTCATGAGACGGCTGCGGCACCCTCGCCTCATCCAGTTATATGATGCATACGAGTGGGGGAAGTGCATGTGCGTCGTGCTGGAACTGTGAGTATACCACCAGCTATTAGAAGAGAATAATACAGGCCTATTGATGGCCGCCGTAGTAGGACACAGAGCATAGGGCTATAACAGGCTTTCAGCCGAGTTCTTCTACTTGAGACAGAGGGAATGTGGAAGAGGTGGATGTAATGCGGTGGCTACGGCACCCTCGCCCCATTCAAGCATCGTAAGTATACCACCAGCTGTTGGTATCAGGACAGAGCATAAGGCTAGAGCTGGCAGCCGAGCTGAAAATGTCCTAAATAAAAATTAAAGTCGATCAAGGATTTGATCAGACCATGGCATATAAACTTAAAAAATAGATCCCTAAAGTTCGGTACACGTGTGTAACTCTGCTCTAAAACTTAGACTACAGAGATCAATATTTAGTAGCTAGTGAAACAACTTGTCATCATACCACTTCTTGCATAACAAGAGCACGACGAAATAACACCAAATTATGTCGATTATCATAAACAATGTTTTAAAAGAGTCTCATTAGACAAATATTTGTCATAAACTCTATATTTAAAATCAATGTACCTACCGAAAACAAACAAATCTCTGACGCAACCGACTCTTGTAAAGCAAAAGAGAACAATCGGCCAGATATAATCACGTCGTCAGTTCATAATGGAGTGAATGTCAACAAATCAGAGCCATAGTCCCACGGCTCAGACAATCTGCAGATTAGCCAACGATCCGTGTTTCCATCGTGAAGAGTTTATTCGTGGCACAGTAGGGTTGGCACAAACCATGCAATGTTCAATACCACTGCAACTGTACCGTTCTTCTGGTGGTATGCAACAATTAGCTTACGATACGGTTGAAATTGGTATGGTTAAAAATGCATGGCACAAACGTAGGTGTGAATAGACACCATTTTCTTCTTCCTTGATCCATTTTCACGGCCCTAAAGCTAGTGAGTGCTTTCTCACCTCTCTGTCATTAAGTCATCCATCAGTCTTTCACCACACAAAACATTTGCGCTTAACTCGTCAGAAGATAATCTTACCTCATGTTTGGCAAACACAACGTGCACATAGGAGCAGCAACTTTATTTTTAGGGCTCATCATCTCTCCTTAATTTCAGTTGCCCTCTAACCTATCTTGCTTACATGGTATGTTGTCAAGGGTAGCAGAGGATGAAGTAATCCAAACGGAAGCATTACTTTGACTAGGTTTCACATGACAGGTCTTGCAAGGTGTTGCATGATGCGTCGAGTCATCGCACCGCGCATCGAGCTCCACAATCGTATTCCGTATTCTAAATCTGTTTCATTCAAACGATTCCATTGCGGTTTTGGCATGTGACTCACGCGCAGCTGGACGTGTGTCGCTTGAAATTGCACCGTGTTCCTTTCACATAGAGTTCATACACGTGATTGACAGGTCTGACGACTTAAACTCTTGAAATCTGGAAAGTTTCGGTTCACAAACGGGTCAAGGTTCGAACTCGACCTAGGTTACGACGCTTTTATTGGGTACACTGTTTGTTTAACCGAGATTTAAGATACACTGGTATGAGAACAAAGCTTTATCGTACATAGAGACACGTATAAAATACAGATGTTGGATGACACGCAAATGTGTGTAGATTTAAAAATATGATCGTTACTTCGCACCCACTCAGATCTCAAAAATGTATCTACCTATTGTAACATCGAATTCAAAAATATTATTTTAGTAGCTCTTCATTAGTAGGCTATAATGTTGTCATTGATTCTATATCAATCCTCAAAATTGTAAAATTACTGTTTACAAAATTGCATTGTCTCATCTTGTGATCTAATCTAACCTAATCTCAAAAAATAACAGTCATATTTCCACCATCAGCATTCCAAAATGTCAGTTTCCAAGTCCCCTGGACTATAAATTGAACAATATTATTAATAGGCCATGAATACAGGTGCAATCTGGCGGCCGATGACAGGTGCTCGCCCACGCTTCATTAATTAAGTTTCACTTTTACTGCGCTAATGAGCATCTTCCAGTAATGAGGTCATCTCACCCAGCTACACTATATTGTTCATAAACATTTTTAACATATGCCTATCTGGCATTCCCAGTCAAATCCGTATTTTGGTTCCATTTTAGATCTTTTAAAGAATACTTTAAAATACTGCTCGAGAAAGGCCTACCCTAAGGATTTCCACAACAACCGGTCCTGTACAGCCTGTACTGCCCAATGTCCACATCCGTGCATCCCAGCCAGATCACGACCTTCACCAGTTTATCAGTTTATCGACCGTGGGGGTTTCGTTTAATGGACAATGGAAATTTTTCTTTCATTTTTCATTTCATGGAACTATTTCGGTGTTGAATCAAGCTCGCTCATTTAATACAACTAAGTACACATCTTACTTTAAAACCTTGATGATTCTGACGAATGCATAAAACGACAAAAAAGGTAACTCCGTAAGTAGGTGACATGTCCTCAAACTGCTATGACAGAGCGCGCTTACAAGTTGTGGTCAACCGCAGCTCTCTTATTTACTTTCACAGCTAGTCATTGGTATAAACCCATTTGGTGACACTAAAAGTTGTACTATCCATTGTTTAAATTCATAATCGTTATGTATTTTATCTTAATGTTGAAGTGTTTGATCGATTGGCTCGACGTTTCAACGTACGTACACGAAATTACCCTTTATCTCTATCACCGTTTGTCTTTCTAGTCTGGCAATTACTTATGCTGATTCATATGTATGAAAAGGGCACAATGAACGTCATAAAATGACCCTGATTAGCCGTTTGCATTAACCCAGGATTTTTGGGTCAGAAGAGATGCCTAACAGGTGATCCCACTATTAGGCCTCTCATGTTTTGGTCTCTATGCTTTTTCACAACTGTTTATCAAAAATTATTTCGACTGTTCAGCTCTTGTTTGTGCAGAATACTTGAAAACGTACAATTTTAATTAAAGATTTCAAATCTGACGCATTTCCTCTAAATCGGCGCCAAAGTCGAGTGCGCCCTATAAGGCGGGCGGCGCGCGCGCAGACGCGTCGGCCGCGTCACTCGACGCATAGTTGGCGGCTCGCCATGCTGCCATCTCACACAGGCATGAGATTGTGATGTTCATTGCGATTATCGTTACGTCAGTTATTAGTTCGATTAGTTTAACAGGTGTATGAACTATTATAATTACAATGCAATGGGTAGAGATTTGTAAACCGTAGGAAAGAGGACCAATGATTTGCCAATGCGGGGATAAGTTAAACTGCTGAAGATATTTATCACAGAATTTATCGGTCTGAGCCTGAAATAGTGAAATTTCATCATAACTTCGTCATCAAACTTCGTGATTTCAAACCCTTGTATCAGGAAATTTTTTCTTCTTGATTCGAGACGAGGTTATTTACTGGGGAAACCGTCATCACAATCTTGAATCATGATTACTAAAATGTCAAATTCCCTGAAATGCATCCTCACATGCGAGATAGAAATATAATCTTTCAGCATTCAAAAATAAATTGAGTACCACGGCGATGACGGAAACCACGGAAACGCTGAAAAAATATTTTCATTCTAAATCATTACTAAACGTCTGCCTACGCAGACTGAAACAGATTCAGACAAAGATAGCGAAAATAACTGAAAGACACTCAGCCATGTTTATTTTTGTGGGAACGCATTGCATCCGCTTCATTTCTTACGTCAGTACAAGAATTGCGTTTTGCGAATTCCATAAATTTATTCTTCTAAACGGCGTAGTAATGACGTCACAGCACAGCTGTTTCGGAACTGTAGCCCAGCAGTCTTCCTGTTTTTCCGCTTCCCTCTTTTTTCTTGAACTGTACGGTACGTGACGTAGGTACACAATGTTTATCTACTCCGGGAAATGTTTGCCTTGTAAGAGCGTGGGCAGCTTATTTTTTCCGAAACTTCGAAAGATTAGTTCGCCTTTCGCAGAGTTCGATAATAAAGTAATGCACTTAACTATTTAAAATGCGGAGGTTCGGAGCTTGGGTTAGCAAAAAGTTGTATCTTCTCGACCAATTAGATACTAGTTACCAACTATTAAGCAATGTGATTTTATTCGATTTCGTGATAGTTTCGCTATTAGTACCTATCTATGTAAAACGGGAGTACTTATTTTATAATGCAATACAAGCTGTTTTACTTAACAGTAAATGAAATTGAAAATTTTCCTTTTCACTCTCCACACTTGATTAAACAAGAACTAAATATGTAAATCGACACTTGTTCAAACCGTCGCTCGCGATTATCCAAAAGACGTAAGCTTGATGTCATTTATTTTGTAAATTATGCATAGTTACCCGCTCGATCGGATCAGTATGAAAATGCTGAATAAATATTGATATAACAGCAGACGTTATCGTTTAAATTGCAAGGCTTACGTAGTTATTGTTTGCGCGTAACGTATTGTAGGTAAAGCGAACAGTTAAAGACCGTGTCAAATTTTCAATGCTCTAGTTAAATTCCTTGACACCATTTGGATTTACAGATTATTGTTGCTACGAGTATATGAGCTGTTAATATTTTCTTAAATTACTCTCAAGCAATCGGTGCGTTTATCAAATTACCTCTTAAAATCTTATTTGGAAATACCTTTACCTGTATAACTGCATAGGGTTTGCCTGGTAAGTAGGTATTGGTAGATGACGAAACAAAACGAGTTAGAGAAAAAAATCTAGAAATGAAACCTAAAAAAATGTGCCTTCTCCATTTTTTAACCTTTGCTTTCACTTACAGTGTTTTGAAAACGGTTTCCCTCCATTTCACCTCCTACAATAACAAGCAAAAAAGCCAAAGATCTCAAAACTTTATTTGGCATCACTCACATTCCATGTGTTTCAACTAAAAATTTAATCAAACATCAAAGACAGACAGAAACTAATTAGATTCGCAAATAAACGTAGGCAGGTCACCCACGTTGCGAAATGGGAGCGAGTCAAGATACGCGACAAAATTTCTCTTTGACAAAAAAACGAACTTCAATTGAGAGATGTGGTCTGTTATCGATACTTTCTTCAATAACAATAGTATCACGTAACGATTTAACAGTTGGATGATTGACACCTCTAGCTAGAGAATGTAACGTTTTAGATTAAGTTATTCATTTACTTTTTTGAAATTAATTACAAGATATTGTCTACCATGCTTTACCAATCGCCACTTGTCCTATGTGGCAGCTATTGGCTGGCACCGTCCACCCAACTAGAAATGTCCTCAACAGAGGCTAGCAAACCACTGAACCAGATGGCAATATTATTAATACACTTGCTTAATCAAGCTTAAATAACAACCACACTGACTGATTGATTGTCACTGATACGTGCGTATGCCGACAACCAAACCGCAGGCCAAATATTGTCACTATGCGGAACATTTTTGCCAATATATCAAGTAGCTGTAATTTTTTAAAATACACTTGTTCTGGTTATCGATATCGGTTAGAATGTCGTCGCCCGACACTAAAAGAAAGCGTGTGACACCGACCTTCAGGCTCGATCGCTTCTATTCCTAGATCCATTTTAGCGCCAACCGAATAGTTTTTTGGCAACACCGCAAAAGTTTTTTTCGATCGATCCTGACTTTTCAAGGGTAGAGTTGTTTTCTGTCAGCGATTTTTTGCGCCATGTCTCGACGCTAACGCTTCGGGCACAACATAATAAACATACTTGTAGAGCACCTCTCAAATCAAAGGTCATCGTCTAGACGGATTTAGATGTAGAGATTAAATAGAGACATTAGGAGATAAAGATTAATCAGTTGGATTGGACAAAGCAAGGTTTGTCTGTAACTGAATGTGACGCCACAAAATTCGAAATTCGTGATCACAGCTTGAAATGCAGTGGTTATTTATGTAACCTTAAATAACTTAGCCTTCACTGGTTTTGTCGTCGGATAATCTGTCAAATACGAATTCTAGCTAAACGAAGCTATCTATTTGGACATTACCATTGCCAAGGATACTCCCACCATAATATCAAAATATGGTTGTGGCCTGTTAGGATTTAAAACTACTTAAGAAGCTTACACTTTTGTTTCACAGTAAATAGCATTTCAATTCGTCATTGACGTTCCACCTCCTTGCAGGATCACCGGCGGAGAACTCTTCGAGCGAGTCATCGACGAGGACTTCGTGCTGACGGAGCGCGCGTGCACCGTCTTCATGCGCCAAATCTGCGAGGGTATAGAGTTCGTGCATCGGCAGAACATCCTGCATCTGGACATGAAGGTGAGAAGATAAATAAATAAATCATCAGCATTATTATCATCATCATCACCAAGTAATTTAGTCTCTACTGCAGGAGCACGACTCTCTAATTTACTAGAGGCAAATGAAGGACTTGGCCTGCAATCTCCACACTGTTAATCCCTTAGTAGAAGATGATCATTTATTTTTGGTTTGTCTGGAAGAAATCGCTTCCTAGTAATAAGACTGCCTTTTCAATTTTTGTTAGTCACGAAAAAGTACAATACTTACACGTAAAAATGTTTATAGCACTTTCGGTTGCTGAGTTATGATGTACTTACTTTTGTATTTTGCGCGAAAGGTAAACTTTAACTGCAGCTGATGGATTGTCAACTGTAAATTTTGGTCAGCACTTTTCATACGTCAACAAATATAGCGGTCCCCGTATTTATCATGCACTTTTCGCGATCTCTCTTTGAGATCGTCGACCGCTATGTGGCAATCGAGTTCAGAATGACATTCACATGGCATGTTTATGATATTGCCAGCGTGAAAGCCACAATTAAACGCAAAGCTTTTTTACACATTTATTGTATTAACGTCATCCTATTCGTGTAGATAAAGTCGAGTAGATCCTTTATAATCCTCGCATCGGGCCGAAGGTGGAAGCGAGCTACATCTGGAATCCTCAACCACAGAAGAACTGGCTATCTTACCTCCCACTGCCGAAACACAACAATGTTCTCAACACTTCTCAACACTGTCATGTCGAATTGGCGACAAACTTGAGATTTTGGTAGCGAGGCGGACTTACAACAATCACCAACCAAAGAGCAAAAAATTTTGCCTCCACTGGTAATTGAACCTGGGACCTCTGGGTCTGACTCAATTAGACCCAAGACGGCTAAAACACTTTGGCTACTACAGAAGCAGTCTTCGTCAACTGTTTCCTCGCATCCTTGAGCTATTAATTATTCAACTAATAAGCTCATTGAAGCTTGATTAATATACTCAACATCAAATAAATCGCACCTTCCGCGACGCGGACTTTAAAGATTTTCTTCTGACATAATCATGGTGCCCCAACAATATTGGTGTTATTTGAAAGCCCAATAAATATCGTTAAAGAAAAACACATTCAATTTATTAATCAATGATTAACATATACCATAAATGTGACTTGAAAAAATACCTCACTTTGGGCTCACCTCTGGGATCAATTAGACCATTTTTTATGGTTATAAAACCAAATAATGATCTCACGTGTCCTCTTTAACAGATGGATAGCGATTAATCTCAACTTAACAGTTTTATACCCATAAAAGTTGGCTCAAGCGTAACTACCTATTTTTTCAAGAAGTGACTCTGGATCCTTCTAAAGACACATTTTTATGGTAAAAACCTTTCCCATAGTGAAATCAAGTTTAGAACTAGGCTTTTAAATAGTGCCAATATTGGTGGGAAGTGGGGATGCATACGTTTGAAAGTGCTTGTCGCGCGAGGTGCGATTTATTTGACGACGAGTGTATAAAGGAACGTTCTAAATCAACCTAATACCATTATACCATTATATCAGTTTCATAATATCAAATGATAGCAATGTGGCTCCGCGCGTTTGGGCGGGCTCCAACTCGTAAATCAAAATGGCGGAACAACTTGCGCGGGAGTTTTATGGTCGTCGGAGAATCGTAATTGTTTATTCGTTTGCTTTTATTAATGTCAACTGAATAGAACTATGTTTTACTACGACTGGCCAGCATACAACGGGCCAGAATGGAACAGAACCATAGAACAAAAAGTCATGTAGATACCTAAATGCTGAGGTACCTAATATAAATCCTCTCCTACCTAATATAAAGATCTATTCTAATTATCGAGCTACTGTCAATTTTCTACCGTGAATGTAAGTGAAAGCTTTACAAAAGTCTGTCAAAGCTTTTAAGCTTTGTCTGTATAAAAGTATAGCTTTGCCACCCCAATCTACTTACAAAATTTAAAGATAGTACTACCGCTACGTTTACACTATTAATTACTTTATTTACTATAGGTACACACTACTAGTGAAGCTAGGAAATCTTCTAGCTTCCCTCACGCATTTCATCTGAAAAAAAAGCGTTGGAAGAAGAATTATCCTCTTCTCTCTTTATAGCATGCTGCACGATAAGCAATCTGACCTTCCGACTCATGAAGTTGGTTCTATTGTTACTTAAAATATTTTGTAGCAGCAGTCAATTGCACTTAACGTAATATACGAGTATGACTTCAATATATTTCGCCTTCGAATCCGTTACGGTTAGTGAAAACAATTTAATTCACATATAAAGTGAAATAAAGGGTACGAATTCTTAATTAAGTGACAACAAATCGTGAGTAAGGCCGACGGCCGACGTCCAAGTACTGTCGCAGAGAAAAGTGCCTGGGGATTTTGTTTTTATCAAGAGACATGAGTATTGACCGAGTGGAATTACAATTTACACTATAATTCCCAAAATCAGTGATAAACTCTGCCCTGATAAATACTGACATTAAATATCAAGGAAATGATTAACTAGTAACACTCAATCATTAATTTATTTACCTACTGGTCGGAAGAAACTATTAACTTTATTTATCCAATAAACGCTGTTATTAATAATTTTAGATTTATTGTTATGACTCAGAACCAGGCAAGTGCTAGTTGTTTAGGTAGGTAACTAATTTTTGTGAGAAGAGATTTGTACTTTTCTCGAATTGTTCAGAAATCTGTTAACTCGCAAGTCGCAAGGGTTGTTCGTTTTTCCAAAGACCCCCCACTAGGTGGACCGACGATCTGGTGAGGATCGCGGACGGGCACAGGACCGGTCGTTGTGGAAATCCTTGGGGTAGGCCTTTGTCCAGCCGTAGACGTCATTTGGCTGAAACGAACGAACGAACCCTAAAAATCAACATTACAATAACATGATGTAACATATGTGAGTAATCGTTGTTGACAAGTAATCAACCTTCCAATGCTCAAGTTCGGGCCGTTCGATGACCCGCTGTTTCGACCAAGCCACCTTTGCCAAGGTTGTTCAGGCCTCATAACCACCTCGCAAAACTTGGCACTGATTACGCGACACGTAGTGTGGTGGCATAGTAAAAAGTCTTTCGTCTATTATGTGACTTTAAGTAGGTAATTAATGGCGATTGAGAAACAAATACATTTCACCAATTAATCTGAAGTTGGCACTTTGGTTGACACTTAAGAAGAGATTATTATAATCAAAGCTATTATTAAACTAAGCTATTACTACTTCTACTGCTACTATTCAACCATTCCATTGAATCGTCTATAACCTTCTAAGCGACTAGCATCATCATCATCATTTCAGCCAATGGCAATCGATTACTAAACGTAAGACGAATGTAGGGGAGGTCAACTAACACCGAAGATTTTACATGTACCTAGCCGCTACCAGAATCACCACAACGATATTAGATAGATAGGTGCTATACAATAAAAGTAGATAAGTGTTACTTATCTTCATGTGTCGTCGATCCATCAGAGGCTCACCTTCAGTCAATTCCAGCGCACCCATCGGTCATCCAATTTCTAGGTCTTCTACATAATGAATTTTCTTTCAGCCTGAAAACATCCTATGCCTGACCAAGACTGGCAACCGCATCAAGATCATAGACTTCGGCCTGGCCCGCTTCTATGACCCTGAGAAGAAGCTGCAAGTGCTGTTCGGAACGCCGGAGTTCGTCGCGCCAGAGGTGGTCAACTTCGACCAGATTGGATACGGGACTGACATGTGGTCCGTTGGCGTTATTTGTTATGTTCTGTAAGTATTTTAGTAACCTTTTGTACTATTCATCATTCATTGATAGCTTTAGGATAGGGCTACAAAATGCCTCATACCTAAGTACTACCTACGAAACAATACAAAGGAACACTAAAAGTCTAGTATTAAAAGTTTTGATGAAAGATTTAAAAAAGATCAAAGTGTGCTGAAAGGCAGTCTCCATCTAATTTGAACAAGGTCCAGCACAGATGAGGTCCAGGGTCTCTTCAAAAGGCATCATGTTGTTGTGTATGTCGATGATTTTTGTTTGGATAGAATCATATTATTATTTGGTTTCGAAGGATAAAGGCTACACTTTGATTTCTTTCTTTTAGATTCTCCACTTAACGCAAATACTCTTTGTAGAATTTCCCTTGCCACTTGAGTCGCATCAACGGTTATAGTTTTATCATCATCATCATCATTTCATCCACAGGACGTCCACTGCTAAACATAGGCCTCCCCCAATGGTTTTTATATTGTCCGGTTGATGGCCGCCTTTTATCATAGATGTACTAAACAATATCTGTTTATTTCCAGCCTATCAGGCCTTTCGCCGTTCATGGGGGAGACAGACATAGAAACCATGGCGAACGTCACCGTGGCCAAGTACGACTTCGACGACGAGGCCTTCAACGAGATCTCCGAGGACGCCAAAGACTTCATCAGCAAGCTGCTTGTGAAGGATAAAGAGTGAGTATCATCTGTACAGTTTTATTTGTTTAAAGGTCATAGCATACTTATCAACCCGGAAAGGGATCAACGCCGTATCGACTTTCGCCGCGAGGCGAAGTTAGGTGCGGATAAGTGTTTGCCTTGCAGTAGGTACGGAGTTTCATACAAAGAATACCGACCGCCTCGAGTTGATACGGTTACGATCCGTTTCCGAGTTGATAGATAAGTGTGCTTCGTCCTTTAGAAGTTCTTAAACAGACACCGAGTCTGTTTTCTGATCTTCAAAATATCGGAATCTGCTTAAGAATGTACAGCGACAGCATATCATAATTTACATTTTTACATCAAAGTAGGCTCTATGACAATGGGATAAGAGCCACTGTTAGCTTGATATGCTGTCGTGCGTACCTACGCCTGATAGGGACTAGAATTTTCAAACATTTTTAAAACTTAGGCATTTTCATTTCCATGTCTTTGTTGGAAACGACAGTAAATTGCTTGTACTCTGTTTCGAATTCCAACATAAAAGCTGCAATAATAAGCCTGTCGATAAAGACCCTTTGTTACGTGTTTAATTCTATCCAACACTTAGTTGTAACTAACAATACCTATTATATTTATTGCATGAAGTAGCGCTGGTTTTCGTAGTTAATGCACTTAATTTACTTTTGATTTTAGTTAACTTGCCTTGCACTTGTAGACTAAAAGTAAATAAAACAGTAGAACTATTGCTAACACTAATCTCTAATTGTTTAGTTAAGTAGAAACGCAATTTAGTACTTATACTATTAAAACTATCTATTGGTGACACATTCCAGTATTTTATGAATTCATATCCTCGCACTGATCCTTACCATCGAATAAAACCATCACATCCATAATATCCTCACATATCCACCCTAAACCATATTATGCACCAACCACAATTCACCATCCATCTATTTGCACGCACCTTCCATCTCACTCAATTCTAGGTGTTGGGTTGATAGTAACAAGGGTCTTTGTCGCAGGTCACGACCGAGCGCGACGGAGTGTTTGCGTCACCGATGGATTCAGAAGCGGCCTCCAGCCAAGAAGGAACCGCCCCAACCACTACCATCGCCCAAACACGAACTAGACGTCGCCAAAGACAACCTTAGGCTCTTCGTAGAACGATGGAGCGAACACCCGAACTCGCCTTACGTTTTCGATAACCAGTCTCACGAAATCACCTGTCTTATGAACGGCAATTGCGAAAGATCATCCATCGGCGGCTGCTCACCCTCCCCAAGAAGTTCTTTAGGCAGTTCCCCAGACACAGTCTTTGACGAAGACGACCTAGAACCACCTCCTTTAAGAGACCCAAATTACTTAGCACCTCGATACAATCCTGTTGAAAGGAGAGCTTCGGATAGCAGTTGCTTCTTACACAAAAAACAAGACGTCATGGTAAGAAAGAACCTAGCTGAGGAAATAAAGAAACTTTCGGACCACTTATTCATGCTCTCGACTATGAACACCGATCTGGCCAACAACAATAGCACGAAAGAACTGAACAAAAACGTGACAGAATCAAACACGACAGTGAAAGAGGAAAAACTACCGAATGGTTTCAAAAAGGAGACAAAAACGTTCACTAAAACGATCACAAATGGAGACGCTTCGAACACAACAAAAAGGATTTTCACATCGAAATCAACAAACAAAATATCGTCGAGTTTTCTAATAGACAAAGAGCCAGAGAAGCCAATGACGAGCAAAATGCCGTGGGCAAAATCGACCACGAGGTCCAAAAAGGTGACGCATTTGAGCCGAGATGTTCCAGACCAGCCTATAGAGAGGCGGAATAGCTTCTTCCAGGAGTTTGATAGGCGGAGGGACCGAATAGATAAATTGGTGAACGGATCAGAAAATGGTAGACAGTTGCCTTATAGAAGAGGAGACGAGAACAATGCTCATAGGACTAAGGATCTTCTGCTACACCTCTTGGAGAAATGGGGGGAAACAGAAGAAGTTGAAGCGGAAAGAACTGCTGGTGGCACGTCAAATGGTGGTCGACACCAATCAATATCCCTTGAATGGTCGCCATCAAACCAGCTCGCACAGAACTCTATGTCGAGTCTACACGCGTTCTTCCAACGGCAAACATCGGAAGAAAAAGCCCAGAGAAAAAATGTCGCAAACACAGTAACGAATTCGAAATGATTTTTGTTGAAACAGGGTAGTAGTGCCATGACATTCACATGAACAAAAAATGCTAGTTAGGCTTGGTTATTTACAGAAACTATATGCCTAAGAACTATAAGCTACTTGTAAATTAGTTACGAAGTGCCAGACAGGTCAGGGCGTCTACCAAATTACCCAAAAGCCAATTAGTCAAATCTCTAAATGACCAATGTTAACCAAGCTAGTACGTAACGGTTGTAAGTTACCAAAGTAACTGAATGAGATTATTTTTATCAACTTTTCCTTTACTTTAGGGATGGCAGTAAAATGACATTGTACGAATCTAGTCTCAATAATAATTTCTGTATGAAGATATCGTTACAAAAGCAAGACTGAGAGAAATGAAAACAATACTTGAAATATCCATTATTTTCTAAAAATATAAACATAATGCAATAATCATAAAATAATTTAAGTAAATACCATCACAATGACATTAAATACTTAAATAGATACTTAAAAAACGTATAAAATATCCTTTCTAATGTAAATAAAATAGTCACAAAGTCGGCTATAAGGTTTTTGCAGTAAATTAATTGTTCCTTATTTATGTATGTACTTATAAGTATGAAATTGTATTACTTAAGTATAATTCTTATGTAATTTATTGTTGTCATTTTATGTTTTTTTAATATAAGGCTTTATTTAATTTAGATCTTTTATTTACCCTACCAAAACAACCTTAACAGTGTGTCATCATCAACAGCCCTTTACAGTCCACTGCTGGACTATGAGCCTCCTCCACTATAGTGGAGGGTTTTGCCATAATCTCCACGCTAGGCAGGCGGGTTGGAGATCGCAGTTTAAAAGATTGATGTTTTTCAGAGAGCGCTGCTGCCCATTCTCTGTTTGATGTGTAGTCCCTAAGTCGCCTCTTACGACACCCGCGGGAAGAGTAGGGGTTGGTGACAAATGTATTCTACTCTGCGTAACAGTGTGTATAATAATTTTATGCAAAAGCAAAGAACACACTTAGGAACTTCGTAATATTTTTTGAAACAGTCATACAGCAGTTAAATGCCTACTCGGCAATAAAGTAGTAATTTCATTTTAAGAAAAAAGTAAGATAAGAAAATCGTAAATGTTCTAATGATAGATCTAGAACTTTTTGTTGAAGTATGATAAAACGTTTAATAAATTATTTTTCTCCAGTGACCGCCTACCCGCATCGTCCACTCTAACCCACCCGTGGTTGATCCAGTCCGCACTTTGCACTGAGCTGCATGTCACCAAGACCAAACTCAAACGGTACGTGATCAAAAAGCGTTGGGCCAAAGCCGTGTCTGCTGTCATCGCGCTCAAACGAATGGGTGCCAAGTTCGAAGAAGTCCATGAGGAAATACTTGACACTAAAAATGGAGGGAAATAGCATATCAAGTTAATTTACATAAAATACAATACAAAGTTAAAATGAAAGAAACATTAGGCTTAGTCATCAGATTTTTGAAAAACACTATCGCAAATCGCCCTTTTCACTACACGAGTACAAGATGCTAGCAGGGCCGGATTAACCATCTCGGGGCCCCTAGGCACAGCTTGTTTCGGGCCCCCCTTTTTTTTTGTCGAGTGCTTGCGCACCGTCACCACTGCCGGGGACAGGGTGGTGTGTGCTCCGTCCTAAAAAGGACGGGGTATACCCACTAAAATCTCCGCGGCGTTCCGTCATCGCCCAAATGGGGGTATCCGGCCGTAGCCTTAGACTGCCGCGACACCACCGGCGACTAGAGACGGGTTTCCACCCGGGTAAAAACCCACTCATGTGGGTTTTTACCCTCATGGGTAAAAACCCAAT